TGATGGGCCGAAACCCAGTGGGCGGCCCAACTGAACCATTTACACCACTTCGGGTCAGACACTCGGAGAATACCCAGGTCTGGGCCGGCCCATGGAGCCAGGCCCGGTTGACTTTAGACCAAACATAGCTGGCAGAGCCGGTTACGGAGAAGGAGACGGAGCAAATTGGCCGTTACAGAGCCGGAAAAAGGGGATCGCGCCCTTAACGGGATAGACTCCATCGATTATGTGTTACCCTTAAGTGCATGTAGCTCAGGTATAAATAGATGAGACCCAAAAGGAGGAAATTCAAGCTAGATCAAGCTAATAATACATACCCAATTCTCGAATTCTCGTTCTGAATTTTGTTCTTACGATCCGCTTCGTGAATCGGATCATTTGGTGGATTTATTGTCCATCACTCCCTAATAGGCTAGAATAAAGTGTTTTTGTAAATCCATTTTTCATAAAATCTTTGACATAGTTTTATACGGAGTAATACTCTATTTGTAAGTTACTACGTACAATTGTATTTGTGTATCATCCTATAAATAAAATGATTTGAAAAAAATACGAAGTTTTATCTCGTAATTCTAAAATTAGTATTCTCCCCCCATCGAGAATAATCTTCATATTCGACTTATCAGTGTCTCCAATGGAATACTTTGATTTTTAATATCTATATTTATACATGGATATAGTCTAAGATTATATAATATTTCAAAACTACATTTTGTAAGAAAAACATTGATATTATATTTATATCGAAACATAATCTAGATTTTGAAACCATGCAAATATTATTCTTTAATTAACGTATGTTAAATGCTTAGTTCTATTTAAATGGATTTTCTTACTCCCTTTTTTTAAAAATAAAAACATCCCTTCTTTTTTTTCTTTCTATAACGTCAAAAAAAACTCTTCTTAAATTCGTCGTACTTTTTTTTACCTAGTAAATCTAAACAGCACATTTTTATTGATTTCTTAATTATTTTGATGTTAATGACACTTGGCACATGAAAAGCATTCCATATCTCTTTTTTTCCCCCTTTTTTCTGCCATTGACAGCTAAGTCTTCAGAAAGAAATTCAGCAGCTGCCCAACTCCTTTTCCCCGCCCCCTTCAACAAATTTCTCTCTTTTTTTCGCTCTCACTAAATTGGAAATAATTTCTTTCCTTTTCAGTACCGACAACTAAATTGCCTCAAAATTAAATTCAAGATAATGGAAGAATATAAATACTCTCTGTGCCTGTATTTTCAAATTATTTTATATGAAAAATGGTGTAAAATTTAAAAACAAAAATTACATACTCCCTCCGTCCCAGATTATTTGTCCACTTTTATTTTTACACACCATCCAATACACTTCTTTAATCCATTTTATCTTGTAATTTGTATATTAAAAAATTATAGAAATTATATATTAATAATCTATATATTAAGACAAATCAAACAAGATCACACATGACTATATTTAGGCTTATACATTGAGAAAATTTGATGAATCAAAGTGCTTAGATAAACAGTTCCAAAAGTCAAAACTGGACAAATAATCCGGGACGGATGTAGTATTAATAACTATATCAAAAGATTTACAAGTGACATGACTATATCATTTTGCACTCAGCAAAAATAGTAATTATAAAATATTGATATCTGTGAGACTGTGACTTGCTTATAAAGTCATCAATGTTGTTATTGTAAAATGACCTAACTCGAGTTTGGATTTTTGCAGCACTAGGAAGTAATTATGTTAAGTATAGAGTCTCTACAGATATCAAATGATGTCTAGACTTTTTATCAGTCTGTTATTATAACTCAATTTATATAACCCAATTTACATATTTTCGATAACTGTCTGACCGGTCCTGGTGAGACATTCGATATGAGATTGATCTTTTTCTTTTTAAAAATTATGAAATGACAATAGACACATGGCCACCAATAGACCACGTCCCCCAACGGATAAGGACAAAGTTAAGGAAGAATAGGTATAGCTACTCTGCCTGTGCACACACATAATAACAACTCATATCCCCTCTCCCCTTCTTTCTCATTCAAAATTGTTATTATAATGCTTTCAATTTAATAACGTACAAATAGTCAATGTTTCTGTGACTCAAATCTAGGTGAAATAAAATTCTTCATGAAGAATTATGAGGAATGAGTTTCACACCACTCAAACCAAAAGAAAAGTTGGAATGAAAAATTGTTTTGGAACGTCGAGAAAAAGAAGTTATTTTGGGGGATGAAAGGAGGATCTTTTATTACCGGTTCTTTTTCTTTTTTTACCCTTCTGTGGAGTTCACAGTAATACAGTTCTACTCTCAATTATACAGTGTGTATTTAATTTATTTGTCAATAATAAATTAAAGAAGAGGGGGGTAGGAAAGTACTTGCAGAGTGCAGGGGTCAATAATAACCTACCTCATGCCCAACAAACTACTCGGGGTTATATTATGCTCAGTAAAATTGGAAAGAAAGATGCTAGTCGTATACAATATACTCCCTCCGTCCCTAAATAGATTACAATTTTTTTTCTCTCTCCTCTCGATAACTTTTGTTTGTTTACGCGATTTCATTAAGTATTTGATAAAGTAAAATATTCTTGTCACCTCTTATTTTGTAGAACTTTTGACGTAGTTTTTTAATATGTAATTTTTATATCTTATTGATATACCAATTTGTAAATAAAATGATTTCAAAAAGTAAGAAATTTTACTCCGTAACCCGCAATTTGTAATCAAATTGGGGACGGATGGAGTATTCACCAAAATGGTTCTTATTTTGACTGATGTCAGAAATAAAATATGTATGTTTATAGTTGATCTTCCAATTTTGCTCTTAATGTGATAGATAAAACTTACATGAATAGATTATGAGATTCCTTAACATTGCATGGTTCTTCCAAGAAATAGGTTATCTTATAAAAAATAGGACTTGTTTGAATGAGGAGAGAAAATGAGAGGAAAAAAAATTAAAAAGATAGAAAATGAGAGAAAAAATGGAGAGAAAATGAAAATAAAATAATTATTGTTCGATGAGTGAGAAATGAGATGAAAAGTAAGAGAAAGGAAAACTTGATGAAGTTAAAAAGAGATTTCTATCCTTATATGATAATGTGTCAATGGGCAAATATAAAGAGAAAAGAGTGATTATGACACTTTAATTTCTCTCTTATCCCTTCATTTTCTCACCACCTAATGAGAGAAAATTTGCTTCCTTTCCACTTAGCCCTTTTCTCTTCCCCTTTTCAATCCAAAAGGAGAGAAAAAATAATGAAAAGAGAAATTTACCTAAATAGGACTAAAACATAACAACTTTCTCAGTATAGGACCATATATTTTTATTTCCCAATGTAGGACTTTTGGTCATTAACAAGTAGTCATTATTCAAGTAAATGTCTAGTATTACTGGACATTATTCCTTCCACGAAGTCATTATTAAATCCTATTTAGGGAATAAAAAAGTTTAAGTCCTACATTAGGAAAGTCATTATGTTTTAGTTCTATTTAGTCTAAATTTTACTAATGAAAAATGAGTCTTCAATCTCTTCAGTTATCTTTTTCTCCAAATTCTCACCATTCAAAAATAGGGTAAAATAGGATTAACATGTAAGATTCTCCCTATAATACTCCCTTTGTCTCATGCCAAAGGGCATATGAGGCTTTTGTGGAGATAAAGAAAAATTTAAATGTGATTGAATAAAAAAGTTTAAAGTGATTGAAAAAGTAAGCAAAAAATTGCGCAAAAGTAATAAAATAAGGGAAAAAGTTTAAACTAAGAGTAAAACATAGAAAAAATATCAAAATAAAAACTATATATATTTATTTCAAAATAAGAATTATAATGTCAATGATGTCAAATATGTCACTCTTATTTTTTAAGTTATATTTTAGGGATTAAAATATGTCACTCTTTTAGTGTCACGTTGTAAACTTATATTTTAGGGATAAAAATATGACACTCTTATTTTAATGATAAAGACTATGTTTTACTCTTTTTTAGGATGATTTTTTTTAAAGAAAGAGGGTATAGAAATGTATTTGTAAAGATGAAAAAATGATCGAAAAGGAATAGTGTTATATCAAAATTAGGAGTGTCATTTGGGTGAGACAACCAAAAGATAGTGTGTATTTTTGCAAATACTGAAATGCGTCAAGAGCTGACCGTTCGACCGGTTCCGAGAGATCCTAAAGAATACTCCGTATAATTTAACCTTCTTTTTTAATGCATCAAGGGGTCTTACACTCATTTAGTTTGTGACATGAAATGCAACTAGTATTGCAACACATTACACACACACACAAGAAAATGCATAGGTTGAAAAAAAACAAAACAAAAAAAAAATCAAGTGGGAGCTTAGGAGCAGAGTGAAGAGCAAAGTTGACAGGCTCTAACCAAGAATTCAAAATTGAGTCATCTTTCTCCCCCCAAAAGAAAAAAAAGAAAAGAAAAGAAAATGCGTAACCCCACCACCCAATAATTGATGAAACAAATTAAATACTGCACCGAGCGGGGGAAATGTAACACAATTATTTAAATGAGATGTTAATAAGAACAAAGTACATACAAACAAGCAAATGCATGTCATGTTCCCCTACAGTCTCTCCCCCACCCCGCTTCCTCCTCACCACCTCCCCCCAGCGCGTCTTCCCCAACCCCTCCACCCCACATAATAAAAGGATGCGTCTCATTCTCGAGGGCCTTCTAAAACCCAACCAAACACTGAGATGAAATAAAGTAGACTTTGATTACAGATTCGTACAAGGGAATAGAGCATACAACTTGATACATGTAGATATCATATGTTCAGCATTATTGCATTCCATCATAATTGTCAGAAATCAAACTCAATTCTACGTTTGTCAACTGCACAACGCCCACTAAATCTACCCCACATAATAAAAAGATGAAACATTGATCTAAGATGTAGCTAAAGGGATCAAGATGAAACACTTTATGAAAGAACAAATCTAATCTGTAGGGCCCTATCAAACCAGCCCAACAATTGTCTAATCCGACAAAAAATGAAGATTAAGATGTGTTCTTGATATATACATGTTGGGACTGCGCGTGCCCTCACCCCAATCCCGCATTAGTATGATATTGTCCGCTCTGGGCCAAACCCTCACGGATTTGTTTTTAGCCACCTCCCAAAAGGCCTCATACTAATGGGGTTGGGTGAACCTTTTTATTTTGGTCCAG